CCATCCATCCATCCATCCATCCATCCATCCATCCATCCATCCATCCTCCCCCAAAAGCGAACCAAATCAAAAACACAAGGCACCTATAGTTCGCACCACCTGTTTCGGCGGTCTCCAGTGGTTGGGCCGCCCACGAGGTCGGTCGGAACGTTCTCGGGTTCGACCAGCAGGTGTGGATGGAGGCGGCCTCCAAGCGTTTGGGACACCTGGCGCATTGGCGCTTGAAGGAGACGCAGCAGGCGCATGCCGGGGTCTGGGCGGATGCTGGGGCGGATGCTGGGGTGAATTCATGAGACTGGCTGGATGGGTGGGGAGGGATCAAGAGGTTGGGGAGCCAATGAGTGACATTTGGTCTCTAGGATGGTTCGGAAAAGCACTTGGACGTCCGGAGTCCTGCATGGAAGCAGTTGATCAATTCTTGGTGCTGTCAAGAATGGGATGTGGAATCCAACCAAGTTCCAGTTAATACACCCCAGAAGATTAACATGGAACCTGAAAATGGACCTTTGGACAACTATGGACCACGTTCCTTTACACTCCAGTGGTTTTCAGGTTCCGTCTGGGTCTCAGAACCAGGGTGTAGATGGGTAACCACTCGACTGTGAGCACAGACTTTGAAGCTCGCTTTGGCTCAGGCTGCGCAATTGGCCGAGGTCGGGTTGGCGACGTGTGAAGTGTCGGACTTGGGTGACATCAGACCTGGAATGGCTTGTCACGATCAGATCACGTTGGGAGTCCACGGTTTCTTGGAGACTGATCCAACCTTAGACTCTTGGATTTGAGTCGACTTCGACTCACGTTCCGTGGCGCAAAGGCATGGAGCCCCTGGTGGGAGATGTTTGGGGTGTGAATGTGTGGCCTAGGTCCAGGTGATGAAGGGGTTCCATCCGTTCCATGACCAATGATGTGTTGCGATGCGATGTGTTTTCTTCTTCTTACCACTTGGTTGTGGGTGCTACCTACCCTGTGTTTTGAGCCCTCGCCAGCTTTGCCCCCATCGCACCGACACCCCGCGCACGGCACCGCATCCGTTCCCGTCCGTGTGATCGGTGGAGCGACCTGACATCATCCGCAGTCGTTGTATCACAGAAGAAGCGAAGACTGCGACGGAAGACACTCTTTTTCCTTGTCATTTGATGACTAACTTACTCCACATACTACATGGTGTATTTTGTTCGATGTGTGGCTGTACTACCATGTGCCGACTGGTCTGCGGGTGGGGTTCGGTTAGGAGATGCTCCTGCTCGTGAAGGCAGCTGGAACTTCTGTGCAGCAGGTGGGACAAGGAAGAATCATTGGTGCAGATTGATTGGATGATTTGCCTTGGTGTGCAGATCACGTCGGACGGCTCTTTCGCGGACTGCTTTGGCTGCCCAGCTCGTCGCACTGGTTCCCCAGCTCCTCGACCCCCAGGGAACGGTATGGTGTGTCATCCAGCCGCATCATCCAAATACAGTAAGCACAAACTGTTGGGGGGTCTTATATGGCCAAATAAATCTTTCCTGCGTTCTCCTGCGTTCCTTTGTTACTCCCAACTGTGACAGTCGATTCTTTGGAAGTGTACAGCTTTTGCTGTGAATTCAGTGCAGACAGTTGCATTTCAGTAGGAAAGCCCTTGGTTTTTGTGGTAGACCATCGTGACCATCAGAGCAGAAAACATGTGTGTTTCAGTCTCCCTGTACGGAAAACCGAAATCCAAGGTCTTACTGTAGGGCCCAAAATCAGGGGGTCATTCCATAAAAGGGATTCTAACTGGGATGTTTCAGTCATTCATTCTCCCCCTTTGACCATCTTTGAGCATTTTTGATTGATTTTGGGTCTGGGTGTCAGGTGGAGGCTCTGCTGGAGACAGCGGAAGCACACCTGGTCCGAGTCAAGCAGCGGGAGGCGCGGCGCGCGTGCGGACGTGTGTGCAAGCGCGTGAAGGCAGCCTTTATTCCCCAGGGGGTGTTGAATAGCCGCTTCGCCTTGTGTTTTGACAGACGTACTGTACTGTTTGTTGATGGCAAGCCTCTGGTGTTTGTGGGCCCGCAGAGAAGAGAAACATAGAAACTGAAACGGTGTCCAAGTTTTTCTTTGAAGGGGACATACCTTTCATTTTGCTGTCTGTTTCACCATGGTTCTCAGCAGATAGAATCGGGGGTAACTCAAGCAATTATATCTGACATGATTGCATTTTTTTGGACTTTCGACCCACTGCATACTAATCACACTTGAAGGGTTTGTGTCGTTCAAAGCCTTTTTGATGCCAGCACTAGCATGGCACAAACTTGCCAGCGCTTTTGAAGCTCCACTTCTCTTGTACTTGTAAGGTATGCTCTCAGTATCTCAGTACTCTCAGTGAGTTTCTAGGCAGCCAATCAACAGCAATGAATATCACTTTGACGACTTCACTGGACAAAGTGGCCAAGAAAAAGCCCAAGTGGTTCCTTCAATGGCCCAAGTGCGTCTGGACAAGTGCGTTTTCCTGAGACCTGGGCTTCTTTGCATGTTGATCTCGGTCAGACCTCTCCCAGGTCTGAAAATTTGTTCTTTCCAGTCGCAAAAAAAGATGCCAAACCCGGTTATGCCAAGCATCACTAAAAGGACCGGGCCATGACCTGCAGGTCGGATGTCTCAAGAATCACTTGGTTTCTTTGTGACTCGATTTGTTTGACCAGAAAGTTTGTTCAAGCTGTTCCTTCCATTGTAATACTTATGGCAAGCATTGGAACAGGTCCTGGAAGGTGCTGGGTTTTCAGTTGGTGCAAACATCGCCCCATCCACAAGCACATTCTTGGTGATCCTCCTAAGAACCCTTGCGCACGAGGCCAATGCTCAACGCAGCTCTCTGGTGGCATGGGCTGGGGAGCCTGGGCATGGGTCAGTTTGGAGTCTGATGGCGCACCCAGATGGCCCAAATGATTGACATTCTGATTGAGTTGACGTGCTGCAGCCTGGCCTCTTCCCCCTCGGTCCCTTTTTCGATGGCACGCCACCGGACCTCTCACGGCCGGCCACGCACCGGACCGGGCCAGGCCTCACGAGCGTTTGACCTGGCGGGGGAGGCCCTCACGCTGTGCGACGCGAAGTCGCTCCGCTCCCAGGCGCGGCGAGTCCGCTGCGGTGCGAGTGCGCCGTCGGCGGGGGCGTCGTCGGGGGAGCTGTCTCACCTTTTTCAAAGAGAATGACGTGAGAAGATGTTTGATTAATTTTTGTTTGACCCCCCTGTGTTGATCCTACTGTATATAAATCATTTTGAAACTGCAGAGAACTATCAAGCCGCCCTCGAGCGGCTGCCATCGAAGCGGTGTTTTTCCACGGTGCCCAGGCTTGTGCGCGGCTCCTGCGGGCCAAGGCAGCCCTCCAGGGCGGCTTCAGCTTGGCCCAGGCGAGGGCGATGGAATTCCAGAGTGGAGTGCCGAAAAAGGAGGGCGGGTTCAAAGGCAGAGGGGTTTGTTTCAAAAACGGGGAGACCATCATATGTGTATAACATTGTATAACTACGGTACATTATTATATGAAAACACACATACATGTAATACATATATACCCGGGCCCTCACAACCATGAAAAACAAAGGTTTTCACATACAAAAACAGGTTGTTTGCTAGGGAAAACAAGGTTTTTGATGGTTGGTGGGGCCCCTGGTATATATATATATATATTGATTACTTATTTTACTATACATTTACCCCGCGAAGATCTACTACCGTTTTGAAGTGCATTCCAAGCCTTCCCAGTTCACACCTTTCCGCCTCCAGCGCCAGCTGCAGCGTTCGCGCTCGGCCCACAGGCCTTGGAAGATGCAGAAGAGGCCCGACTCCTCATGAACGACGTGTCCGAACGCCGTGGGGTTCGGGTGCCCGGAGCATCCGAAAAGAGGATCAGGGAGGTCAGACCAGATGGGAGGTACGAAGTGGATATGGTTACGGTATTTTGTTGATACATCCATGTTCATAACAATACATCTAACTGGAGTGTTTTAGTGATATCAAATCGGTGTATTTGTCATTCATGTGTCTCAAACGAGAGGCCTGCCACGCCTGAGTGGATGTGACAGCAAAAACCAACATGTCCCGAAAGGGTTGTTGTGACAGGTGCACAAGCAGTCTATACTTTTTGACACTTCTCGTGGTAAGGAAGAGAAACAAGAAAACGACCGTCACTATTCATAGTTAGAACTTCAATCTGTAGAACAAGTGTTTATGCACAGAACTTTGAAGTGTTTAACACAGTCTTTGCATAGAAGAAGGTGTCCATGTGCAAATAGGACTGATGCTGACAGGGAAGTGGGCCCCTTTGTCAATGTTCTTGCGCATTGGAAGCTTGCAACTTACGACAGAGGAGAGCGCCTCACAGTAAAGACATTTTTGCATCTCAATGTAGAAATCTTAACATGGGAATATCATGGAAGTGGGTGTTTACTTAATAGAAACAACGTTATCCCTTTGTAGTCCTGTCTACAGATTGGAAAGGGACATAGTTTATAGCAATTTTCTTGCAGAACAAAGATACTGTGACATTCCAGTTAATATCAACATGAAACAACGCCTCTCATAGCTGCAGGATGATTAAACGTCTTCTAACCACCACAGAAACCTCTCGAAGCAAGAGCAGAAAGTTATATGTCCAAACATGCAACGACGAAAATAGGTTGAACCAAAAGCACAGGAAACATCACTGACAAGTTTTACCGCGCACTTCTGACATAGCTGGGGTATAGTTTGCTTTTGAAGAAGCTGTGCTTTTGCTGGAACTAGGACATGCCCTCCCGATCATGTTTTGTATCTTTCAGACTTCTTCGCACCTTTGTTTAGCAACAACACCTACAGGTTGACAACAACATTGCAGGTTAACATGAACCGCGCGTGTTATTGCTCCCGGTTGATTCACCCACCGGTTTTGAGGAATGAGTACCAGAAAGGTGCTGATCGGATGGATGGATCTTTCTTTTAGACCCCCTGTTGATTGAACTGACCAGGTTTTTTGGGCTGCAGAGGTGTGGTGACCTCATGCGGATGCAGCTGTGATCTCACCTTAACCTCGCCCGCAGATCCGCTCTCAGGTGGCCTCGGCTTTGTTGCTCCAAGCTGAGGTGGAGGGCTTTTGGATGTGGAGGAGTTGGTGCTTGGGAGGGGATGGTCTGTTGGGTGCTCAGGGTGAGTAGTTGATGGATGGGATGGGGATGATGGGCAGTGATGGATGGGTTTTGCTCACAGTCTTCATGGGATGTTTTTAGACTCTGATCTCCCCCACCCTGAAAAAAGTCCCCATTTGTTGCGATGCCCTACTTGGCGGACTTTTGTTTGTCGATTGTACGATGCACTTTGAAGACATCCAACAAAAAGTGGATGATACCTCCCTCAGTCTCCTCTATCATCATGCCCCGTGTGGACTCTATGGACCATCGAACACCTTCAGATCCCCCTCGCAGTCGTCATCAGTCGTCTCCACCATCTCGGTCGGGAGCCTGAAACATGCGATGAGACTGGAGGCGAACTCCTTCAAACCAGCAAAAAAGCGATGGCCTCCAACCTAAGGGCGATGGCCTCCAACCCTAAGGGCGGTGGCCTCCAACCTAAGAGCGGTGGCTTCCAACCTAAGAGCGATGGCCTCCAACCGAAGAGCGATGAGTCTGGAGGTGAACTCCTTGGAGGGCCGCACGTTGAAGGCTTCCAGTTTGGTGAAAGAGGCCGTCGCACCCACCGACCGCGGCACGGACGGACCACATTCTGTTGATGGTCTCATTGTGTGAAGCGGAGTTGCTTTTTTGCATGTGAGAGCATCTCCAGTGCTCAAGTGCTGGGTTTTGGCGTGCCTGAAAGACGGGACAGTTTCTGGAGGCCATGAGGTGGCTGAAGGTTCCTTTGTTCCATCCCCATTGATTTTGGACTCCCTCCCATCTGTAGACCTCAGTGCTTTTGGAATGCCGCAATACTTGAACCATCTTGAACCAGACAAGTGCAATTTGCAGAAGGATAAAGTCGAGTTCCGCAACTGCGCAGGATTCCGCAACTAGGATTCCGCAACTGTTTGGTCGGATTCCGCAACTGGGATTCCGCACCTAGGATTCCGAAACTAGGATTCCGCAACTGGGATTCCGCAACTGGGATTCCGCAACTAGGATTCCGCAACAGGATTCCGCAACTAGGATTCCGCAACTAGGTTTCTGCAACTGGGATTCCGCAACTGGCGTTCCGCAACTAGGATTCCGCAACATTGTGGATTCCCTCGCTAGGATTCCGCAACTTTGTGAATGATGAGGGGGTTGGCGTGATGTCAAGATGAGGGGTTGGGGGGGGGTTGGGTGGGGGGTTAATGACGTTGGTTTGGATGTGCTTCGAAGGTGATGTCACAGGCAAACACGCTATTGCATGATGTGGAGATCACCAGTTGCAAGTTTCAGAAGGCAAGTTGCAGAATCTGACTTTCCAGTTTCAGAATACCAGTTGCAGAATCTGACTTTCCAGTTTCAGAATACAAGTTTCAGAATCCCAGTTTCAGAATCCTAGTTTCAGAACCCCAGTTTCAGAATCCTAGTTTCAGAACCCCAGTTTCAGAATACTAGTTTCAGAATCCAAGTTTCAGAACCCTAATTTCAGAACCCCAGTTTCAGAACCCTAGTTTCAGAATGTGACCGATTAGTTTCCGAATCCGGCTCTAACCATTTGCAGAATTCTATCTGGACCATCCATTGTCCAATGGACTACAGTATTGTATGATCCTGATTAGCAAAGAGGTCCTCTATAGTGCTAAAATGTTCAATAATAATTCTGACCCCCAGGTTTGTTTAAAGGGTCCTCTATTGTGGTATATTGTGGTCATGTTTGTTGGGATCCTGTTTTTAATATAGGGGGATCCTGTTTACTAATCAGGATCCAACATTACACTGCTTATGTAAACCCGACTGCCCTTGCTCCATCCCCAATCATCACCTCCCAAAAGGCAGGATGCGCATCGCTTTTTTGGTTGCTGGAAGACCATTGTCAAGCCATACCAGGGTAGACCAATCATTCTTCCATCCGTTGGGATGTGGCCGGGTCGAGATCCGATGTGACCGGGGCGCTCGATGTTCATGTCCTAGCCGGTGTGCCACTGAAGAGGGAAGAACCAACGGTGAATCAACCGGTCCTTCTCATTCTTTCTCGACCCAGCCACTGAGTGTTAAGGTTACCCACTGAAGCAGGCCACCTGCTGAAGAGTGCTGAAGCATCCAACCATTCCCAATCGAAGATCGTGACCTGCTGGTCGTTTTTCAGGCGCAAGCTCTGAGTGAGGACCTGCACCAGGCACGGTGAGTTTATAACCCACCGGGATGAAGAACTCTTTGGTTTGATGAACAGATGGAGGATCATGCAGGTGCGACATGACCAAATTCCTTCAAGCATGGCCCTGGATCAACTCTTTGTTGCTTCAACATGGTTCAAACACTCCATTCATTCGTTTACATTTGCAGAGGTTGTTTTGGGACTTGGTGGTGTTCTCCACGAAGTTGAGGCATGCAAACACCATGGTGCCTTCTTTTTGTCAAGACAAAATTCTCGGAGTCGAGGCATGCTGGTGGGAGTTCTTGACCAGTACAGTACAACCCCAACGTCCATACTCAAGTGCTGACCTGAAGATCTTCGCCCTTTTTCCTTTCGGTCGCGTCTAAGACATGATCCGCACGCGCATCGGTTCCGTCTCCACAAACGCCTTGGATCCGAAGATCGCAGCCGTGGCACACTGTGGAACCTTCCAGACATGTCCATCTCGCCTGGTCCTTGCACGGTCGCACGGCCGGCACGGTGGAACCGGTCTGGCGGCCGGGGCGGCACGGGCCTTGCGGCGCGTGAAAGAAGCAACGGCAGGGCGGCTATAGAGCAGAAAGTACTTCGACAGAATGGTTTGCCAAGGTTCTGAGGGTCGTTTGCAGTAGGTGCAAGGGTAGATGACCAAGCCGGGCAAGGCTGTTGCTGGAATCACTGCAGAATGGAATGTGGGTGTGTATTTTAATGGGGTGACACCATGTGCCACCTAACCGTAGACTGGTCTACTGCATTTCTTTTCTTCCAGGGGTCGTGCGCTGGGGAGGTCTCCCTATTTTAATACACACTCATGTCCAACTTGGGCATTCTGACATTCCAGGCTGGAGAACAGAACTGGGGAGAAGCTTTTTGGGATCGAACACATCTTGTTAACTGGCCATATGACAAGACCATTCTACAAACTAGGGCTTGTGACACGTGGATTGGTCATCCTGTGTTGGGGGCAACCCAAGTGATTTGTCAAGCATTCCATTTCCTTTCTTCGCATTAGGCACGTCGACTGGATGGCAACATCACCACAGGAGCCACCACAGTGGCTTGTTGAATCACATTTGTTCCCCGGCCCCCTACCCCACCCACACTACGAACCCAGACATACATACATACCTATAGTTTCTAGGTATGTATGTTTCCGCAGACATACATACATACCTATCATTTTCCAGGTATGTATGTTTCCCCAGATATACATACCTTTGACATACATACATACCTCTAGTTTCTAGGTATGTATGTTTCCCCGGACATACATACATACCTATCAGTTTCCTGGTATGTATGTTTCCCCAGATATACATACCTTGGACATACATACATA